TCCTACTCTGCCCTGAGCATAGTGGGCCAGAAAAGGCCCCTCCTTCAAAGGTCTCCATGGTTCTGCCTGTAGGATCCCCTTTCTCATGAGGCTCTGGACCTCTTCTTGCTATAGACTTAGCCTGATGTTTTTCCCCACTGATGCTACACTCAGTGGTTACTCCTGTGCTGGTCAACACAGACTTCAGTCACCACTTGGGCTGGATTTTGCCAAGGACCTTTGACCTGAAGTTTGACTGGGCCAATGAGACCCAGGGAACCAATCAGAAAAGTCCTGAGGCTGATCCCTATGCTAGGCTAGAAATTAATTGGTACCCTGTTGGAACAGAGTCAGCCTCAGACATTATTTCTGGAGTGCTATGATGGACCAGTCTTAAATGGCCTAAAGCTACTTTCTCTCTCTCTCTCTCTCTCTCTCTCTCTCTCTCTCTCTCTCTCTCTCTCTCTCCCCCCTCCCCGAAACTGAGTATAGGCAGTCAATTACAGGTTTATGGAAGGCTTTGGCCTCTGCAGGGAATTTGGGATCCTCTCAGAACATTACCTACAGCCACAGGATTTGGGAAAGACCTAAGCTTGGCTGGGCTTGGGTGCTCTGAAGCTCAGATATGGAATGCTGAGATTATACAGATGGCTTTAAGATGGATTGCTCTAAGTGGTCTATCTCAAGAACTCTATTGGACCCTGGGTTACCCCTATGTGGATTTCTGGAATGGATACAAAGTCTAGAAGTAACTCTTTCTATGATCTAGTAGAGTAGAGATCATCTCTATGACCACAAGGAGAGTTTGAGAAGGATCTGGGATTCTCTGTGCCCTAACATGCAACCAGGGGTATAGGGTGTCTTCAGGGAAGACTAGTACCTCAGGTGTGAGGGCTGCCAAGCCCTTTTAAGGACTGCTTTCCACCTCTGGTGTCCACCTGTTCCACCTAACCTTCATCTGTGGTTGTAAGGAGCCACAGCATGCATAGCAGCCACACACCAGTAAATTGTTTTGGCAAATGGGCTATACCAGGTTGAGGATAACCAAGGGGTCTCAGATCCATCGGTGAGTTAGGAAGGCATCTACCCAAGCATGTGAAGATTTCCACTGGTAGCATAGGCAGATGAGAACAATTTTTTTTTCCAATGGCCATGAAGGCAGCTAAAGCAGGTGCTGCAGAGCACTTAGAGCTTGGTTAGACATCAAAGATGCTAAGGTCACCCACTGCATCTTGAGCCATTACCAGTTGTCTTGACTCTGTCCTGCCACTGGACTGTGATGACTCTGGAGGACAGGGTGATGCCGATGACATCATACAATTCTGCCTCACTTAAATCCAATTTATGCATGAATCAAAAGACATCACTCATACCATTTTACCATTTTTACCTATCTCAAAGCCACGTGGCAACAGGCAAATGATGAAGCAGCAGGTACAGATACACTGGGAACTGTGGTCAAAACCCTGCACACAGGCAGCCCAAGCCATAGGGTCATCATCTCACTGGAAGCAGCAGTGGGATTTGGCAGCTCCTTGAGTGACTAAGAAGTCTTTTAAGGATCACACTGCTCACTTCCTGGTGTGAGGAAGGGACAAAAAAAGGTGTCTCTGACTGATCATAGACTTATGCTCTCCAAGTTAAAGCCCCAAAACAAAATGACTATCAAAAGAATTCAGGTCAATAGATTTGAGCTCTTCTCTAAACAGAAACAGTTTGTTGCTAACTTGGAGGAAAAGTTGAGCCAACACACAGTTGGCAACAGTGGAGCAGAAAAGGAGTGGGTAGCTTTCAGGGATTTGGTATATAGCACTGCATTTGATCATCTGGGTCATAAAACTCATAAACATTAAAACTGGTTTGATGAAAATGAGGAAATTCAGTAGCTGCTAAATGAAAAAACAAGAATTCCACAGGGTTTACCAGTAGGATAGCTCATCTATCTCTAAGATGGCAGTATTTAATTCTGTCAAAAGTAAAGTATAAGCAAAGCTTAGAGAGATGCAGAATTCTTGGCTAAGTAAGAAGGCAGATGAAATCCAGCCTTATGATGATAGTAACAATCCAAAGCACTTTTATGATGTCCTAAAGGCTATTTATGGGCCAAAGACCTACGGTGTATCTTAACTTCTTAGTGCTGAGGGAACCACATTGATTAGTGATAAGGATATGGTCCTAGAAAGATGGGCTGAACTCTTCCATACTGTTTTCAACAGACTGTCATCAATCAATACTGAAGCCACTGACCACTTACCTCCAGTTGAAGTCAATCCCTCCCTAGCTGAAGTTCCAAATGAAGAAGAGGTTTTGAATGCCATTGGGCTCCTTTCATGTGGCAAAGCCCCTGGTTCTGATTCTATTCCAGCTAAGATTTACAAAGTGTGTGTGTTGGGAGGGTCCTTTGCTCATACAAAAGCTGACTGCAATTTTCTGGGTTATATGGCAAGAGGCAGTTATCCCCCAGGAGTTCAAGGATACCTCCATTGTAGATCTCTATAAAGGTAAAGGAAATAGATTGTTCTGTCACAATCACGGGGGATCTCTCTCTTAGTCATCACCAGCAAGATTCTTGCCAGAGTCCTCCTTAATAGACTGATCCTTCACCTGGAAGATGGTCATCTACCTAAAAGCCAGTGGGGCTTCAGAAAGGGCCAAGGAACAGTTGATATGGTGCTTGCTGCCTGACAACTCCAGGAGAAATGCCAGGAACAGAACAGAGGTCTGCACACAACATTTGTAGATCTGACCAAGGCCTTTGATATTGTCAGTCATGAGGGCTTATGGAAAATTATGTCAAAATTTGATTGCCTGGAGAAGTTCATCAGCATTGTACATCAATTTCACGATGACATGCTTGCCCGGGTTCTGGATGATGGACAATGCTTTTGTGCTTTCCCAGTCACCAATGGAGTGAAACAAGGCTGTGTGCTTGCTCCCATTCTTTTTTATTTGAAGACAGGTTTTGTTTATTTAGTAGCCTGCATTTTATTTTTTTTAATTTATTTATTTTTAGTTTTCAACATTCACTTCCATAAGATTTTGAGTTCCAAATTTTCTCCCCATCTCTCCCCTTCCCCCAGCCCAAGACAGTGTGCAATTTGATATAGGCTCTACATATACATTCATATTGAACCTATTTTCACATTAGTCATGTTGTAAAGAAGAATTAGAACCAATTGGAGAACCCATGAGAAAGAATAAACAGAAAAGAGAGTAAATAATATGTATTCAGAGTTCAGAGTTCTTTTTTCTGGACATGGACAGCGTTTTCCATCATCAGTCATTTGGAATTGTCTTGGATCCTTGCATTGCTAAGAAGAGATGAGTCTATGAAAGTTAGTCATCACACAATGTGGCTGTTACTGTGTACAATGTTCTCCTGGTTCTGCTCACTTCACTCAGCATCAGACCATACAAGTCTTTCCAGGTTTTTCTGAACTCTGCCTGCTCATCATTTCTTATAGCACAATAGTATTCCATTACAATCATATACCACAACTTGTTCAGCCATTCCCCAACTGATGGGCATCCGATCAATTTCCAATTCTTGGCCACCACAAAAAGATCGGCTACAAATAATTTTGTACATGTGGGTTCTTTTCCCATTCATATGATCTCTTTGGGATATAGACCTAGAAGTGGTATTGCTGGGTCAAAGGGTATGCACAGTTTCATATCATAGTTCCAAATTTGGGCATAGTTCCAAATTGCTCTCCAGAATGGTTGGATAAGTTCATAATTCCACCAACAATGTATTAGTGTTCCAATTTTCCCACATCTTCTCCAGCATTTATCATTTTCCTGTTTTGTCATGTTAGCCAATTTGATAGGTGTGATGTGGTACCTCAGAGTTGTTTTGATTTGCATTTCTCTAAATCAATAATGATTTAGAGCATTTTTTCATATGACTACAGATAGCTTTAACTTCTTCTGAAAACTGCCTCCCGTGCTTTTTAGTATGATGTTTTCCACTATGTTATCAAATGCCCTCAATGAGGATGAACACAGTATCAAGGTCAGCTACTGCACTGATGGTAAATTCTCCAACTTGAAAAGGCTACAAGCCAAGACCAAAGTGGATGGAGTATTGATGCAGGATTTTCTGTTTGCTCTGATTGTTTACTCAATGCAGCCTCTGAAGCTGAGATGCAACAAAGTATGCATCGATTCTCTGCTGCTTATACTCATTTTTGCCTAACAATGAACAACAACAACAACAACAAAAAAACCCACAGGTGCTCCAAGAGCCACCACCACACCATGCATACATAGAACATCAGTTACAGCAAATGGAGAAGTTCTGAATGCTGTGGATAAGTTCACTTACCTTGGTAGTGTACTTTCCAGGGATGTACACATTGACAATGAGGTTGATGCACACATTGCCAATCAAACTGAAGGTCTACAGAGCCATTGTGCTGACCTCATTGCTGTATGCCTGTGAAACCTGGACAGTATACCACCACCATGCCAGGAAATTGAATTGCTTCCATTTGAATTTTCTTAGGAAAATTCTGAAGATCACTTGGCAGGATAAGATACCAGACACTGAGGTCCTTTCTTGACTGCCAGGGATTCAAATTCTACTGCAGAATGCACAACTCTCACGGGCTGGCCACGTTATTTGAATGCAAAACATACACTTGCCAAAAAGACTATTTTATGGAAAACTCACATGGGACAAGAGCTCATATAATGGTCAGAAGAAGCGATACAGGGACACTCTCAAGGCTTCTCTTAAGAACTTTGGAATTGATTATGTTACATGAGAGACACTGGCACAGGACCACCCAACATAGCATGCACTCATCAGAGAAGGTGCTGTACTCTATGAGGAAATCAGAATTGAAGTAGAGCAAGGATTATTCTTATTTTTTTTTGTATTTGTATCCCCAGTACTTAGCAGAGTGCCTTGCATGTAGTAAATTTGTAATAAACACTTTTTTCATTCATTTATTGATTTAATCACTGTGTACTACTAGCATTACAAAAATATTCAAAATTTAAAGCTATAAACTTACCAGAAACCGTTTCATCGATTATGATACCAACTATTGCTACATCATTAGCACATGGATCTCTTGCAATCTTGAGACCTAACACATGCTTAAGTATTTTTCGTATGATAGAAGGGTTCACATTTAACCCAATTTGCCACTGAAGAATAGGTTCTGTGGAATAAATAAATTTAAGTATTAAAATTTATATCCATATCTATGAAAAGTAAACTTTCTGTCACCTGCTCTGGGGGCATCATGCTGAGAGAAATGATTATTAATAGCCAATGATTTGGGGAGATCCAGAGTTCCCATATTTTTCTAAAGTGCACATTTTTAAGCTCAGTCTCTGAAAGTTGAATTAACTTTCTCCTCAGGCATGGTCAGACCCTGCCCAACCTTACAAAGAATTTCCAATCTAAGATAAATTCCTGCCCATTCTGTTCCACTCAAGAAAGTTTGGGTAGAGGTAGATCCTTTATCTAGACTGCCCAACGCTGGGGGTGGTCTGTTGTAGAAATAGTCTCTTTGTCCAAGAGTGACATCTCTCAGCCTTTCATTGGAGTGAGCCCACTTCTCATTGTAATATTCATTCTCTCATTAATTGCTAATCAATCAGGTTTGCCAGATTTGCCAGTCAGATTGCCACCCTCTGGAGCAACCACTTTTCCAAAGACATATAAGCCCTAAGCCCACCACCATGATTGTCTTTGGCTGTCAAGAGCACCACTGACCTTTTCTATTAATAAAATGCTAGCATTATTAATAAAATGACTAATTACACAGAAATTATGTCTCTCAAACTTTTTAAATGTCACACTAAGTGCCGATAGGGTATTACTATACAGATATGTGTTTGGCATCTCAAACTCAGCATGTTCTAAATTAAACTTACTATATTTCTCCCTAAGTCTGCTTCTCATTCTGACTCTATTATTTTTTGCTGGTGGTATCTTTATGCAGTCTACCACTCTAAGGTTAGTACAGTGCCTGGCATATTGCAGGCCTTTAATAAATATTCATTGTGGATTGATTGATTGCTCACTCATCTCTCATACTTAGCAGTGCCTAGATCCTGTTCATTTCACCTCCACAGCATCTCAGATGTTAGCCTTCTTCTCTCTTGCCACCACCATCACCCTAGTTCAGACCTTTGTTAACACCTGACTGAACTATTGTAATAGTTGCAAGCAAATGATACATGTCCTCCAATATATCCTCCCTCTTCCCCTCTTCCCCGACTAAGAAGGAAACAATCCCATTAACTGCTTTACTCCTCTGAATTTTGTCTTACCTTCTTTCTCTCATAGGGGAAAGTATTAAAAGCAAAAGCAGATTTCTGTCCTGCTGTCAGGAGTGAGAGCACTGTCTGTTTCATATCCAAATTATTGTCTTCCTCTTTCCTTACTGTCCTACTGCCAACTTTTATTCCCCTTTATATGAAATATATATCTATTTACAAACACACACACATATGTACATTTACATATATATATGTATATATATATATATATATATATGTGGTGTCTGCTAATCTTTGTTGGGTGATTAATGCCAAGACAACCAGAATTTCAGGGAAAGACTGGGATCTTTGTGGAGAGTGAGAAACATCCCCACTTCAACCTGAGACATAGAGAGGAGGGACAAGAAAGGGTAGTGAATCTATGTGAAAATCACAAATGCCGTGTACATGCATTGAGAACATAGGCCAGTACACGTTTCCATAAACAGCAGAGTTGATATAAAGAAAGAGATTGATAATATAAGTTTCAATTGACCCCAGACCTAAAAGAATTGAGCCCTTGAGACAAAGGTTAGCCAAGACCCAGGAAAGGGAATCTGTGTTATCGTATATACTTGCATGCAACTCCCCTTTCCATATGTCTTATAATGTATGTCTTATGCATAGGTACTATACAAAGTATCCTTTACTTGTGCTTACATATGGTTGTTGTTCAGTTGATTCAGTCATGTCTGACTTTTTATGACCCCATTTTTTGTTCTTCTTGGCAAAGTTACTGGAGGGGTTTGCCTTTTCCTTCTCCAGCTTATATTACAGGTGAGGAAACTGAAGTCAACTGGGTTAAGTGACTTGCCTGGTGTCACACAGCTAGTAAGTGTCTAAGGCCAGATTTGAACTCAAGAAGATGAGTCTTCCTGACTCCAGGCCCAGCATTCTTTCTACTTCACCACCTAGCTGCCCTCAATTACATGTGGAGCTCTAGCTATTAAAGTTACCACCAGCACACAATCCCCTAGTAAAACCCTATGTCAGTGGATATCTTCCTTACTTCCTTTCATATTCTTTAAATGTGTGGATATGACTCTGTTAAAATGAACATGTGGGAGCACCCTCTCTAGGTTCATCTTTGCAGGTGGGTACCGTCATACAACTTTCTATGCACACATGCCAAAAAATCTTAACACATCTTAACATAATATATAAACAAATCATTTGTGTAATCTTGGGTGAACACTTGCCATATCTAGCCTAGAGTGTGGAGCTGGTCCAGATGACCTCTAAGTTTCTTTCCTGCTTTCACATTCTATGAGCCTACAAGGTTTTGGTTTTTTGTTTTGTTTTGTTTTGTTTTGTTTTGTTTTTTTGCATTCAGAGGAAAGGACCTGATTTTTCACCATACCGCACTTAGGTAAGGACAAACAACATTTCAACTTGTTTTTAGTCACTTACTAGTGAGAATGTACAATATTTCTTTGGTCTTACAGCATTTACCTCGGTAAAGGTCCAGTAGTGTTCCTTCAGTCACGTAAGTTTCTAATCCCTCTTGAAGTGTAATAGTTATGAACCACTCTTCTACTGGATTAATATCTGTTGGCAAAGAAAAGGTAGAGCATCATTAAACAGAAAGAGAATCTGTGAACAGTTCTTTTTATATTATATCAATAACACTAACAAATAGAACTCTAGGTGGTTTGGGAAATTACTGATGAATAAGAACTTTAGGCCTATCCTATCTACTCATATTTCTAAAGAATATATTGCACATTGCTTTATGTACTATGAGTAGTCAAGAGACAGTATTACCTTAAGAAACTATGACAAGCTTTCTTTCCCATAAGCAACTTTCTGATTCAATTTGCTATAGTCACTTAACTATTAACATGTAACCTTTTTTTCTCAACATATTTCCAAATCCTCCACTCATCTACTGTATCTCATTGATTCAACTCTATTTTATATACCTTTGTGAGTACCATAACTTTTTACCTCCCATTCCCAATTAGGTTTGAACCATCCTCACTTGATTTTTCTATATTCTCAAAAGACTATAACTTGTTCAACTATATTGAGTTCATATCAATCAATCAGTGAATATTTATTACATGCATGCATTGTGCCAGGCACTGTGCTTGGATATGGAAATAGAAAGACAAAAAATTAGAATAGTACCTGTCCTTAAGGAGCTTACATTATATTGAAGGAGACAATATATATATAAATAAGTTCATACAAAATAAAAATATGGTAGCTTTGAAGGGTACTAGCAACTAGGAATCGCTACTAGGACTAGCAACTAGTGTTCAGGAAGATAATGGAGATTAAACTAAAAGCTTAAGCTCCCAAAGATGAGAGTTGAAGTGCCATGTGTGAGGAATAGTTTTATGTATATAGTTACAACTATAACCATATGTATATACATGTATATGTGTACATATATGTATATACACACACAGAGAGAATAACATAAATCCCTGTATTCTGTGGTCTATACAAATTGGCTTTGCTATTCCTCACACAATGAGGATGGAAAAAAGTTTTGAAGCTTGTGTCTTTATGTGCTAAATAAAGGAGATCATATTTTATTTTAGAAGAAATAGAGAGCCCCTGGAGTTTATTGAGGAAGAAAGTGACATGGCCAGACTTTCATTTGGGGAAAAACACTTTGACTGCTAAGTGGAGAAATAACTGGAGTAGAAAAAGACTTGTGGCAGGGAAGCTATCGCAATACTTTGGGCCAGAGATGATGACAGACTTAATCAAGATGGTAGCTGTGTGGACAGTACGAAGGGCAATTCAAGAGGTGTTGTAGAGGTTAAAAGGCTAGAATTTGGCCAATAATTGTATATGTGAAATGACAGAGAATGAGTTGAGAATAATGTCAAGTACACAACTCCAAGAGAATGGAAGGAGAATGGTCCTCAATAGGAATAGGAAAGTTTGGCAGAGGAATAGGTTTATGGTAAATGATATATTCAGTTGTGAATGTATTGAGTTTGAAATTAATATGAGACATTCATTTTAAAATATCCACAAGGTAATCAGTGAAGCAAGATTGGAGCTCAAGTGAGAAACTTGGGCTGGATATATAAATCTGGCAATCATTTTCAAAGAGATGATAATTAAACCTAGGGAAACTTACAAGGTTGCTGAGTGAAAGAATGAAAAATGACAACCCACTACAATTTCTTGTGATATGTTCACAATTAGAGAAATGATGCTTCAACAAGGGAGGCTGAGAAAAAAAAAAGAGGGAAGAAGAGAATGCCCAAGAGCAGGGGTGGGGAACCTGTGACCTCAAGGCCACATGTGGCTCTTTAGGTCCTCAAGTGCAGCCCTTTGACTAAAACCAAACTTCACAGAAATGAATCCCCTTCATAAAAGGATTTGTTCTGTAAAACCTGGACTCACTCAAAAGGCCAAACCCAAGGACTTAGAAGACCACATATGGGCTCAAGGTTGCTGGTTCCCCAAACCTGTCCAAGATGATGGGGACTGGTCAACAATGTCGAATGCTGCAGAGGGTTCAAGAAAGATGAGGATTGAGAAAAGACCATCCAATTTGGCAATTATGAGTTTGGTAACTTTGGAGAGAGCAGTTTAAGTTGAATTATGAAATAAGAAGCCTGATTGCAAAGGAATGATCACTAAGAGGACAAGAAGTGGAAGAAGCAAATGTAGATAGGATTTTTTCCCCTTGGACTTTAGCAGAAAGGAGGAGACAAGATAAAGAACAATAACTTACTGGAAAGATAGTGATGGTTGTTAGTTAGTTTGTTTTTAAAGGACAGGGTAGACTTGGCTATATCTGAATGCAGCAGAGAAGGAGCTGATAGGGAGAGATTCAAGATGGAAAGGGAGTATTGGTAATTTGCTGGAAAAAGACTACAAGATCATAGTATAAGAGCTGCAAGGTCCTTTAGAGATCATCTAGTCTAATCCCCTTTTATAACTAAAGAGATGAGACCCAGAAAGGTTAAACAGTTGAGCCAAAGTCACAGAGGTAGTAAGTGGCAGGGTCAATATTTCAGCCTAGGTCCTTAGACTTCATATCTAACACACTTTAAATCTATTGTTCTATGTTGACTCTATAGAAGGAGATTGGATCAAGGATATATATGTATTAACACCTATATTCATGTGTTATATATATAAGGTACATGTGAATAATGTAATGCATATTAATATATAATTCTGTCTACATTACATACATATCCTGATGAAGCAAACATATGGGCTGTCCAACCAATTGCGTATCATAGTCCAGATTACAGGAATTTTTTATTCAATTTGTTTATTCCTCTGTTGATGATTAGGCTGACCTATTTTGAGTGGTTTTAAGTCTTATTCAGGAAACTGTTCTGTAGTATTTTCAGGCTTGATGTCATTAATAACAATATAATAATCATGATTATTAATGCTTATATAGTATTTAAAGGTTTGCAAAGCACTTTACAAATATCTCATTTTATTCTTACAGCAACCCTGGGAGGGAGATGAAATATTTATCCCCATTTTACACATGAGGAAACTGAGGCAGACCAAAGGTAAGTGGCTTGTCCAGGGTCACACAGTTACTAAACATGAGTGGACTTGAGCTGACTCCATAGCTGGCCCTCTGTACAATGCCACCTTAGAGCAGGAACACTAGTAGGATGTTACCCTCTTTAGGGCATTCTCCTTCTCTTTGATTTCTGTGTTAGCAATCCTCTATAACAGTGGCAAATACTTTTGCCAAGAATATCTCATTGTTTTTGCCTCACTATGCAACTGATCATCAAAGGGTCACTGAACAAAGTTGTCTTTTATTACTTCTACCAAGGAATCTTGCATGAGATTAGCAGTTTTCTACTATGCCAGTTCAACATCCAGTGTTTATTTCAAATGATCAATATCATCATCATCATCATCATTATCAAAATAACTAACCTATAGGTAAAAAGAACCACCATAGTACATTGTTACCTTCATTAATTGTAATTGACTTTCTGGGAATTTCAATTGACCAAGTAGGCTCATCTTTTTCCTTTAAAAATGAAGAAAGCAGATAATGTTTTATAACTCATGTCATAAAAAAGTTAATTTGACATCTTCCACTATCAAAATTTTTAAGAAAATTTAGATAAGTAAATTCAGAAGCATTATTTCTTACAGCCTCACTTTTTCCTCTGAATCATAGTATTAACTCTACCAATCCAATGAAAAGAAAAATAGAAAAATATAATATAAATCCACAAATAAGTTAACTGAAAACTCATCCCCCAAAGTAATTAATATATCATAGTTTGATACTAAGATAACAGTAATTTACATTTATATTATAGTTTAATTCTACAATGGCCTTATAAGATTAGTAATTAAAATATTATTAACTCTATTTTACAGATGAGCGGTATAAGATTCTAAGAAAAGTTAATTGGCTTTCTAGTAAGACCCCATAGCTGGGAAGTGTGGGAGTCAAATTTTCAAGCCTAGTTTGTACTGACTCTAAGTATAACACCATATCACATTGCCCTTGTGTGTGTTTGATTCATACATAAAATCCAATATTTACCATCATGATTAGCTACAAGACTAATACAAGTACTATGTTATTAGTGCCAAAAAAAAAATCTATTTCCAGCACAGAAATGGACAATTTGTGGCTGGCCCCATATTGCCTAACATAATGTCTTCCATAAAGAAGACACAATAAGTGTTAAAAGAACAAATGAATGAACAGAGCAGAACAGGAATCTTTTCAATAACTAGGAAAATGGCTATGACTAAGCACCCAGACACAATCATGGGAACAGGAGATAAATTTCCTTACCAAATGAATAAATCATCGATTTTTGGACCTCACAAATGTTTGGTTTTTTTCTATGTAAAAACAAACTATCAGCCAAACATTAAACCAATTTATAAGATTTTTGTTCAGTAACTGTTGTAACTCTGATTTCCCTTATTCAGAACAATAATCTCAAAAATAACTGTGGTTTAGGCATTTATCTGTAACATGCTCAGGAAAATCTGATTCTTATGTTATGTTGCCTCAGTTTTTATGCCCCAAAAGGTAGTGGTGTTTGTCATCAGGTTGTTGCTCATTAAGTTAAATGAATAAACAGTCAACACCTCAAAATGAGTGTTTTGTGCTTTTTGCAAAATTATTTAAGAAATAAACACAATTGTACCACAACCACAGAAGTATCATGATTGATATTAATATATTGATATTGATATGATAATCATGATATTATCATGATTGACATAACAATGTTCTGAGCATGTTCAATTTATTGGTAAGGCTAGCAGTTACCAATATAAGGGGTCTTCAGCTTCTCAGCAAGACAAAAAAACCCCATGTGGGGTTTACAAGACTTATGCTTTAGGAAAAGTGTCTAGAAATAAAACAGCACTTGGGCAAGATATCAGATTAACCCATCTGATTTCTATTGGTGGAAGGGTTGAAATTTTATCTCTTGTTTCTAGGGAAAGCTGATTGGTTGTGTACCTGCTTCCTTACCAGGACAGCTAGTGGTGCAGAGATAACAAGTTTCCTTGACATAAAAATAGAACAGTGACTTTAGAGGAAGACAAATTATGAATATAATTCTGAGACAATGAGATGTGACAGGCAGTTAAATAAAATATCGGTAGAGGTACAGAATGACATCAATTGCAAAATAGAATCAATTGATTTTCTAAATCCTCCCCTACTTTGATCAATGGGAGACATGTCTCCCATGGATCACTTATCTGTAAGCTAATTCTGTAAGATTTTTAACATAGTCATGATCAGTAGTATATATTACCATAAGCTTTTCTGGCATAAGTTTGGAATAGGTTTTAATATAGCAAATAATACAAAGACTAAAATAGAATTATAAGGCAGAAGGCAATAAGGGTGCATTTACCAAGGGTGGCTAATAGGCCATTTCCAAGTGAACCAAGAAGGATTCCATCACAGGTCACCAGGAATGGGTAATCATGTTTCTGATATAATTTGCTGAATTTTGTGAAGACTGTAACTATTTCCCCCAGGTTGGTTAACATGAGAACAACAAAACTGATTAATCATAGCACAAGTTCTTAACTGAGTTGCAGGAAGAATATCTAAAACCATGTGATTTCACAAAGCCATTTGAGCCACAGAACCTATCTCAATCTGTAGGGAGAAGATGGACTCACTTAGGGCTTAAGCCAACTTTTCGATTTCAAGTAAGAGATTCAAACACTAGGAGGATTCACCGAGGACTAATTTGAAAGGGAGGATTTGTGTATCACCCTGGTAACCAAGATAACTCAGCAAACATAAATACCATAAAATAAAACAAAACAAAAAAAAGCAAAGTAATATAAAAATGACCATCAGTATTAACTAACATCAAAACTCCTTGCATCCTAGTAATCCACTCCCAATATTCATTTAATCAGCACATTTCATCTTGGATCCTACATGCAGTTGTCTGGTCTCTGGAGACATCTTCTCTTGGACGTTTTAGAATAGGTTTCATTTTCAGGGCAGCTCTGAAGAGGGGGCTCCCCCTAAATTTGATTCTTTAGTTCTAAATTACTTACAGAGATTATTTAATACAATTTAGTACAACCTTACAAATTTAATATTTCAATAACTAGCTCATATGATCAAAACTAGATCAAACCTCATGGTTCTGATCTTTATTAACAATAATGCTATAAGAAGAAAATCAAATTAGAAACCCATAATTTACTTAAAACTTCAGAGAATTTCAGTTGTTAAATATCACTTGCCATTTCTATCTTTACCTAAAGCCTATACATCATATGGAACTGCTATCAACAGGCTGAAGGAAGAATTTTAAAGAAAAAATTATGAGGGTTTGACTTGTAAAATGGGCCCTTCTGTTTCTTAAAATTATCAAACAAATAAGAAAATATTTTCACCTTCTTCATAATTATCAATGCAATTTAACATACAAAATCCTTAATCCAATTTTTAAAACTTATTAATCCATTAGAAACATTTGGAAGTCCATTATATATATTCCAGTTCTTAGAGAAAACAGTCCGTTCCTGTTTTCTCCAAGTTATATAGAGAGACAGACAATGGACAATGGAGGCATCTTTGAACTCCTGTTACTCCATTTGAATTTAAAAAATAAAAAAAATTGACATCTTTGTCTTAGAAAATATTTTTGCATCTTTGTCTTAATTCTCCCTTTAGGAGGATGTTATCCTCATACATTCTTTCAGAATAAAATATTTCAAGGACCTGATCTTAATCACAAATATATAACTATTAGAAAGCCCAAAAATGTATTTACTTAGTTGCTTAGGATATGGATTTGACTATTAATTCAGATTGAAAACAGTAAGATCATTCATACTTGCATCCTATCATAGTAGTGCAGAGATGCTGGAGTACTACAGCAACAAGATTCATTATATTAAAAAATTACTTTATCTGTTATGGTTAGAGAGAATTGCTACAAAACAAAAAAGCAGAGACACAGTTGTAACAGCATCAAGACTGGTCCTCTAAGCCTAAACCTAAGAGTACAAAATGGTTCAACATAGGTATAATCAAATAAGGCATCCTTAGTTCTGTTTGAATTCAGAAAAGAGTCATAGTTACAATTTCGAACAGCCAATCATACAGAAAAGTTCCACAGTGTTCACAAGGCATCATAGCCAGGCTTAGGACTAACCAGGAGGAAAACATTCCTGTTCAAAAGGGGAACTAATACAATAAACTGAGTCAAGGTGATCTTACCTTTGACTATACCAAGGTCACCACTCAACTTTCCCAGACACAAACATCCACCTATATCAGTTCTTTAGACTGCAGCACAAGGAATTTCCCTTGAGTAGTGGATTTCTGACTTAATGATAATTCAAACATTTATATTTGAATTCAAAAACTCAAAAATTATCAAATTATAATCCCAAGAGATTTTTACCTCAAATAGCAAGTTTCATTAATTGTAGCTTAGGGCTAAAAGCAATTATTATTTCTCTCATGTTGTTGCAAAAAGGGTTAACAGCAAAATTTTTAACAGGCTTTTCAAAAAAAGATTCCCTCAACACCCTTTTCTTCTTTTTCATCTTCTCAAGTTTAGACTCATCCTTGTTTAAAAATCAAGAAAACAATTGCATTCTGGAATTTCATGTAAATAATGAAAACATTCACCCAAAGGAAAAAAAAACAGAAAAACACTGGCTAATTACTGTGAATCTCTAGAATGACATATGTTCATCTCTTAAGGCATTTTGTATCAATCCCTAAAGCAAAAATAAATCTTTAAAACAAGAGTCTGTTGAGACTAAGTAGACCCAAGATATAACTTGAATATATGCTATTCTAGGTGTAAATTCATAATTTTCATAATCACAAGTCATCAAATCACTTCTCTACTATAAACAAAGTTAACAAATCTTCCTTTCTCCTTTAGCATGGGGTGTTTGTGATAGAAGAGGGGATATCAGTTTCTCAACAAACCAATTCATCATTCAGAATTTTGCAACATTTAGCAAGTTCTCTCACAGGGATAAGATTTCATGACCTTGCCCATGCAGATGTTTCCAAAGAACCTGGCAAGTTTACAAATAAGGAGATTTTATGAGAACTCTCTTTTTTTGTACTTTTCCCCACACAGTAAATAATTATTATTGTTCATTTTTAAAATGTACCCAATTAAATACTAGATAGGTTTTACTATTATGACAACAGCCTCTAATAATTTAATAATTTCATAGCATCCAAATGAAAAGGGTTAAAATTTCCGAAGACAGAATTGCATCATTCTCTTGACTTTTAATGGGATCCATGGTTTCCTAAAATTCACAGTACAAGAAAACTTAAAAACACAATAATAACATCCACAATATCATGTATTTAAAACATGAAACAAAACTTCTTGCCAGTCACATAACATCAGTTAGATGGAATGCATTTCTAAATTATCTTCCATAGAAAATCATTTATTTTATCACTTTTAGAACTGTATACTAATCACAATTAAAACCTAATATGGAGTTATCCAGTAGGTAGTAATTATATTCAAT